ATCCGGCCGGTCGGACCGGAAGGAGCGCTGAGGGCGGGGGAGGAGGATTTAAAGGAAGTCCCGCCTCTGCCGCGCTCGTAAGCCGCCGCTTACCTGGCTCGGTCCGTGAGGGGTGGGTAGGTGAAGGCCTCGGGACTTTAAAACCGAGGTTTCGACGGCGCCAGGTGATGGACGACACTGTTCTTGGGCCAGGGACGTGGAGCATTCAGGGAATGCGGGGTAGAGGCCAGCTTGGGAACTCCGGGGGTCGGGGAACAAATCTGGCGCTGAGAGGAACGGAGGGCTGGGCCTCCGAACGATACTCTTTCCTCGGGGTCCTCGGGGGCCGTACTGAGTCTGCAGCTCCGCTTCTCTCCTAGTCGCCTGCCAACTCCACAAATCCGGGCCTGCCTTCGGTCATAGAGGTGCTGTCCCTCGCCCCATCCCCCCAGGTCGCCGGAAGTTTAGAAAGAAAAGCCCTTCCTTTGGCCTCTGGGACCTGGCCACCTCTTGGTGCTCGCCTCAGTTACTCCTACTTTGCTATGGTGCTGACTTCCAGTGTCACGTGTTTTCTTCGAGGTCTGATTCCGGAGCTGCCATGATTGAGGTGGTAGCAGAGTTGAGCCGGGGTCCTGTATTTCTGGCGGGGGAGGCACTGGAGTGTGTGGTGACGGTCACCAACCCTTTACCTCCTACGGCCACTTCTGCATCGAGGTGAGGATGCTGATACCGAAGGTGGTGGCCCTTTGGGAGGCACCCTGGTATCGCTGGTCCTAAGCCAGAGTTGAGGTTGTCTTGTAACTACCTTGCTCATTGCGCTGTCATTACAGGAAAGGGTTATTTAACAGAAGAAGTGGGTGAAAGGTTTCTCTTTTCTTTCCAACCCCTCATTCCCTTTTGTATCCACTGTGTATTCCTCTTTGTTTAATGGTTTCTCCTTGAAGGTTCTAGATTTTCTGATCCCAGGACAGCCACCTACATTTGTTTGTTTTCATCACACAATGTAGTAGAATGTTTGAGAAAGCATTTGTGAGGTCAGGAAGTATCCTCTGATGTCTCCTTTTCCTCTTCTCACAGTGAAGCACTGGCCTGGGCTAGTGCACAGATACACTGCCAGTTCCATGCTAGTGAGAGTCGAGTAGTGCTACCTCCCCCTGACTCTAGTCAACCAGATGTCCAGCCAGACAGCCAGACTGTCTTTCTGCCTCACCGAGGTTAGAGACAGGGCATTTGCCTTGGGAAGGGCTGTGGTGGGGTCATTGTCACCTAAGAGTGAAATTAAGTTGTTCTTATGTGTCTGTCTTAGTCCCTGTTGCATGACGGATGGAGGTGGGAAGTAACTATTGTTCCTATGTCGCAAGAAAAGAGGTTCTTCACTGCCTCCAGTTAGTGTGCTAACCTTGTCAAGTATTGGACAATGGAGTCATTAAATTGCAGTCTTTCTTACTTTTTGTAGGTGAAAGGGGTCAGTGTATCCTTTCTACTCCACCAAAAATTCTATTTTGTGACCTGAGGCTAGACCCTGGAGAATCAAAATCATGTGAGTGACTATCCCCAGCCCTGAATTGCCTTCTAAGTCTCCTGGAGGGAGGGTGCTTCTGGCTGCCTCTAGCTGCCCTGACTACTGCTTCCCAACCAGACTCCTACAGTGAAGTGCTGCCCAGAGAGGGACCACCCTCCTTTCGGGGCCAGTCAGTCAAGTATGTCTACAAACTGACCATTGGCTGCCAGCGTGTCAACTCACCCATCACTTTACTCAGGGTTCCTTTGAGGGTTCTTGTGCTGACTGGTAAGTAAGGGCTCCTGAAGGGAAGGGCTGAAGTACAGCCTTGCCAACACAGAAATAGTCTAGAGGGCTGGGGATTTAGTTTAGTGGCGCCACACCTGTCTGGTAAGTGCAAGGTCCTGAGTTTGATCCCTGGTACCAAAAAATAAAAGATAGTCTAGAGGACTTGCAAGAAAAGCTTCAGGGAGGCTTCCTGGTCTTTGGAAAGGTGCTAGAGAATTGGGGAGGGAGGGAGGCTTCTTGAGACTGGATTGAGATGTAGGACTCAGCCATAGCTCCCTGAACCTTGAGCCCTCTTAAGTTGGAATTTAAACCCTACCATTTATTTTCTTCTCTGTTTCCTCTCAGTGTTCCCTCTTTTCATTCTCTCTAGGCCTTCAAGATGTCTGGTTTCCCCAGGATGAGGCTGTGGCCCCATCCAGTCCATTCTTGGAGGAGGATGAAGGTGGGAAGAAGGATTCATGGCTAGCTGAGCTGGCTGGGGAGCGTCTCATGGCTGCCACATCCTGCCGCAGCCTCCGTGAGAATCTTTTCAGAATTGCCTCACCCTTTTCTTACCCTCAAAATATTCCTGTCTGAGAGACAGTTTCCTAACTACCATATAGTTTGGTGGATCCATTGATATGTCACCCCAGATTATAAAGAAAAAGCTACCTTTTGGTCCTTGGGACCCAGTCCTAAACATTCAGTAGTGTAGACTCCAGGCTTATTGCATCTTATTCTCTCCAGATTTATACAACATCAGTGATGGCCGAGGGAAAGTTGGGACATTTGGCATCTTCAAATCTGTTTACAGACTTGGTGAGGATGTGGTGGGAACCTTAAACTTAGGAGAAGGAACTGTGGCTTGTTTGCAGGTAAGAAGGAAAGAACTTCTAGGGTGCTGGGTGTGAAGGATGAGGGCAAAGGAAGACCTACATTAAGAGGGGTGGTATGAAGTGGATAGTGTGGTCACCTGGGGTCCCTTTGGTGAAATAGCTTGAAGTGGGGGTACTTTCTCACCTACAATCTGTACTTCGAAAAGCTTGCCAGCATGCACCTCTCTTCTTGCTCCAAGTTTTCAGTAAGCTTACAGACTGAGGAGCGTGTACAGCCTGAGTATCAGCGGCGCCGTGGGACAGGGGGTGCCTCCTCTGTGTCCTATGTGACTCATGCCCGGCACCAGGAGTCCTGTCTACATACAACCAGAACCAGCTTTTCTCTCCCCATCCCTCTCAGCTCCACCCCAGGCTTCTGCACTGCTATTGGTGAGATCCTGATCACTTTTAGAGAAGTGGCGGGGGAGGTAAAATACTGTACTTAGGAAGAGTGTAATGGGTCCTGATTCCTACTATACTGCAGATGTGCCCACATCCAGTCTCTGACCCTTAACACTTTATATTTTTTTTTGTGTGTGTGTGTGGTACTGGGAACGGAACTCAGGACCTTGTGCTTGCTAGGCAGGCGGCAGCACCGTTGAGCTAAATCCCCGGCCCTACCCCTATTTCTTAGATACCCTCAACCCCTTAAACTCTGCCCACTCCTACCTCCTGGGACTCTCTGATACACTGTCTGATTCCTTAGCACATTTACTTCAAGCTATCAATTTTGACTACCCCATTCAGGTTATTAGGTAGTTAACACTGCTATCCTTAACTCTGGTTAATATGGCAGATTTCTTAAAAAAAAAAAAAAAAAAAA